GGGTGAAAAGTATGTGCAAGAAGAGTTTCTGGGTGAAGAGTCTCTGGGTGAAAAGTATATGGGTGAAAAGTATGTGCAAGAAGAGTGTCTGGGTGAAGAGTTTCTGGGTAAAAAGTATATGGGCGAAAAGTATGTGCAAGAAGAGTTTCTGGGTGAAGAGTCTCTGGGTGTGCAAGAAGAGTTTCTGGGTGAAGAGCCTCTGGGTGAAAAGTATATGGGTGAAAAGTATGTGCAAGAAGGGTTTCTGGGTGCAGAGTCTCTGGGTGAAAAGTATATGGGTGAAAAGTATGTGCAAGAAGAGTTTCTGGGTGAAGAGTCTCTGGGTGGAAAGTATATGGGTGAAAAGTATGTGCAAGAAGAGTTTCTGGGTGAAGAGTCTCTGGGTAAAAAGTATATGGGTGAAAAGTATGTGCAAGAAGAGTGTCTGGATGAAGAGTCTCTGGGTGAAAGTCTGTGCAAGAAGAGTTTCTGGGTGAAGAATCTCTGGGTGAAAAGTATATGGGTGAAATGTATGTGCAAGAAGAGTTTCTGGGTGAAGAGTCTCTGGGTGAAAAGTATATGGGTGAAAAGTATGTGCAAGAAAAGTTTCTGGGTGAAAAGTATATGGGTGAAAAATATGTGCAAGAAAAGTTTCTAGGTGAAGAGTTTCTGGGTGAAAAGTATATTGGTGAAAAGTATGTTTCTGGGTGAAGAATCTCTGGGTGAAAAGTATATGGGTGAAAAGTATGTGCAAGAAGAGTTTCTGGGTGAAGAGTTTCTGGGTAAAAAGTATCTGGGCGAAAAGTATGTGCAAGAAGAGTTTCTGGGTGAAGAGTCTCTGGGTAAAAAGTATATGGGTATCTGGGCAGATTGCAATGGAGGGGAAAATGATGAGAAAAACAATGGAAAAAAGGAGGGAATATGACATAAAACAATGGGAAAAAAATGGGAAAGGAGGAAAATGATGAGAAAAACAATGGAAAAAAGGAGGGACTTTGACATAAAACAATGGAAAAAAAATGGGAAAGCAATGGAAAATTTGAGTAGAACGCTTGGAAAATTGTTTAAAACGCGAGGAGAAACGGTGGAAAGAATAGGGAGAGGGTAAAATGATGCCAAGTAAAATTGAGGCTCCGATGAGGGAAAAGCAATGGAAAAATTGCAGTTTCGATGTGTGACCACTATGGAGTAGAAGCACAGAAAAAAAACATGGAAGAAACGAGCAAAACCGTTTATACGGTGCAACTGTAGGGATTGTGGAAGGTGCATTTGGGTAAGCGTTAGACACACTGAAGAAATCGAGTAACACCATGGCAAAACACTGTGAAAAGTGATGAAATGGAAAGATAAATTGATAGCATAAAATATGGGAAAAACAATGAACAAATGAATGGGAAAGCAATGGAAAATTGGAGTGGAACGTTTGGAAAATTGATTACAACGCGAGGAAAATTGGTGGAAACAATGAGGAGCGGGTAAAATGATGCCAGGTCACGTAAAGCACGCGTGAAACATTGGAAAAGCAATGGAAAAATGGCAGTTTTGATGTGTGACCACTATGGAGTAGACGCACGGAAAGAAAACCATGGAAGAAAGACGATTGAGTAAAACTGGAGGAAAAACTGTGAAAAAAACACTGGGGAGACTGGAATGAAGGGGAAAACGGTGTCGAGTAAAACTATGGAAAAGCAATCAAAAAAAAACTATGGCGTCGACGTGGATCGATGGGAAAGCAATGGAAAAATTGAGAGACTGGACTATGATGAAGAAGTGGAGAAAAACAATGGAAAAAATATTGGAAAAATTGCGGCTATGATGTGGGACCAAAATGATGCCAAGTAAAATAAGAGTAAAATGACGGAAATTGATGGGATGAAAACACAATGGAAAAATTGAGGCTCCGATGTGGGACCATTATATGTGCAAGAAGAGTTTCTGGGTGAAGAGTCTCTAGGTGAAAAGTATATGGGTGAAAAGTTTGTGCAAGAAGAGTTTCTGGGTGAAGAGTCTCTGGGTGAAAAGTCTGTGCAAGAAGAGTTTCTGGGTGAAGAGTCTCTGGGTGAAAAGTATATGGGTGAAAAGTATGTGCAAGAAGAGTTTCTGGGTGAAGAGTCTCTGGGTGAAAAGTATATGGGTGAAAAGTATGTGCAAGAAGAGTTTCTGGCTGAAGAGTCTCTGGGTGAAAAGTATATGGGTGAAAAGTATGTGCAAGAAGAGTTTCTGGGTGAAGAGTCTCTGGGTGAAAAGTATATGGGTGAAAAGTATGTGCAAGAAGAGTTTCTGGGTGAAGAGTCTGTGGGTGAAAAGTATATGGGTGAAAAGTATGTGCAAGAAGAGTTTCTGGGTGAAGAGTTTCTGGGTAAAAAGTATATGGGCGAAAAGTATGTGCAAGAAGAGTTTCTGGGTGAAGAGTCTCTGAGTGAAAAGTCTGTGCAAGGAGAGTTTCTGGGTGAAGAATCTCTGGGTGAAAAGTATATGGGTGAAATGTATGTGCACGAAGAGTTTCTGGGTGAAGAGTCTCTGGGTGAAAAGTATATGGGTGAAAAGTATGTGCAACGAGGGTTTCTGGGTGCAGAGTCTCTGGGTGAAAAGTATATGGGTGAAATGTATGTGCAAGAAGAGTTTCTGGGTGAAGAGTCTCTGGGTGAAAAGTATATGGGTGAAAAGTATGTGCAAGAAGGGTTTCTGGGTGCAGAGTCTCTGGGTAAAAAGTATATGGGTGAAAAGTATGTGCAAGAAGAGTTTCTGGGTGAAGAGTCTCTGGGTGAAAAGTATATGGGTGAAAAGTCTGTGCAAGAAGAGTTCCTGGGTGAAGAGTCTCTGGGTGAAAAGTATATGGGTGAAAAGTATGTGCAAGAAGAGTTTCTGGGTGAAGAGTCTGCGGGTGAAAAGTTTATGGGTGAAAAGTATGTGCAAGAAGAGTTTCTGGGTGAAGAGTTTCTGGGTAAAAAGTATCTGGGCGAAAAGTATGTGCAAGAAGAGTTTCTGGGTGAAGAGTCTCTGGGTGAAAAGTCTGTGCAAGGAGAGTTTCTGGGTGAAAAATTCTCTGGGTGAAAAGTATATGGGTGAAATGTATGTGCAAGAAGAGTTTCTGGGTGAAGAGTCTCTGGGTGAAAAGTATATGGGTGAAAAGTATGTGCAAGAAGAGTTTCTGGGTGAAGAGTCTCTGGGTGAAAAGTATATGGGTGAAAAGTAGGTGCAAGAAGAGTCTCTGGGTGAAAGTATATGGGTGAAAAATATGTGCAAGAAGAGTTTCTAGGTGAAGAGTCTCTGGGTGAAAAGTATATGGGTGAAAAGTATGTGCAAGAAGAGTCTCTGGGTGAAAAGTACATGGGTGAACAGTATGTGCAAGAAGAGTCTCTGGGTGAAAAGTATATGGGTGAAAAGTATGTGCAAGAAGAGTTTCTGGGTGAAGAGTTTCTGGGTGAAGAGTCTCTGGGTGAAAAGTCTGTGCGAGAAGAGTTTCTGGTTGAAGAGTCTCTGGGTGAAAAGTATATGGGCGAAAAGTACGTGCAAGAAGAGTTTCTGGGTGAAGAGTCTCTGGGTGAAAAGTATATGGGTGAAAAGTATGTGCAAGAAGAGTTTCTGGGTGAAGAGTTTCTGGGTGAAAAGTCTGTGCAAGGAGAGTTTCTGGGTGAAGAATCTCTGGGTGAAAAGTATATGGGTGACATGTATGTGCAAGAAGAGTTTCTGGGTGAAGAGTCTCTGGGTGAAAAGTATCTGGGTGAAAAACATGTGCAAGAAGAGTTTCTGGGTGAAGAGTTTCTGGGTGAAGTGTCTCTGGGTAAAAAGTATATGGGTGAAAAGTATGTGCAAGAAGAGTTTCTGGGTGAAGAGTTTCTGGGTGAAAAGTCTGTGCAAGGAGAGTTTCTGGGTGAAGAATCTCTGGGTGAAAAGTATATGGGTGAAATGTATGTGCAAGAAGAGTTTCTGGGTGAAAAGTATCTGGGTGAAAAGTCTGTGCAAGAAGAGTTTCTGGGTGAAGAATTTCTGGGTGAAAAGTATATGGGCGAAATGTATTGAAGAGTCTCTGGGTGAAAAGTATGATGGAAAATAGGGGTAGATGGGATGCTGGCTTTCGTTCCCCCCTTCTCAGGTTCTCATTATTTGGCGTTGTTTGCAGTACATGGTGATGTGGTCCAAAGGTCCAAGCCTTCCTTTGAGAACAGGACACCATCGCCGAGTTGCAAAGCAAAGCCGCAGGCCAGGTGGCCCGGTTCCTGATCGCATTGCAGCCACTTGTAACAGGTGTGCTGTGCTTGCTGTGCTTGCTGTGCTTGCTGTGCTTGCTGTGCTTGCTGTGCTTGCTGTGCTTGCTATGCTTGCTGTGCTTGCTGTGCTTATGTGTCTATTTGTGCATATTTCTCGAATTATACTGTTTGTGTATGTTTGTGTCCAGTTCCATCAAATCAGTACCTTATCTAAGAGGGTAATGTTCTTTGCCCTTTGCTGGCTTTTTGTAGCTGGCTTTATTACACATCAACTATATATATATAACTGCCGCTACTAAAGGCTACCCTCCTCATTGTTACACACACTTTAGGTTGAACCCCCTTGAAGCTGATGAAGCCATCGCTTGGCAAGGAACCATAAGAATGGTAACAATTTTTCTAAAAAGAATTACTGAGGCCACTAGTGACACTAGTGATTCTCAACGAAGGCACTTAGCGGGCACGGGTTGTCCTGAAAAAGATGATTTAGTCTGATGGAAGCACACTTCTGTCCCAAAATAGCTGAATCTGCACTGGCTCAACATGGAACTTCAGCAATCTGGATGAAACTGTATGAACTTTACCTTTTCTCTTCACTGGAATTTTCTGCGTTTGAGGGCTAAGTGTGCGTCGACAAGCGCTCCGGAAAGTCTTGGCACAACACACCGCGGTCTTGGAACTACTGGAATTGCCGCAGCTGTGGGGAAACTCAGTTTGACAATGTATATTCTTAGTCGGATGGTATCAGATTGCAGAACAATCCCAATGTCCTGCTTTCAGCCGCACTGACAAGGTTATGTGTGGCTTTACGCACACTTCTTCTATCTGAAATACTATGAAGCCTAGCACACAGATGGCATGGCAACAACCACTTCTCAAGCCCTGTGCATGATTTGCCCTCCTTTGCGTTCGCTCAACGTGACCAGATTGTAGAGAGGTGGACTTGGCAAAACCGAAGTGCAGAACTTTGAAACTCTACCAGCTTAGGAGCTTAGGATCTTAGGAGCTTAGGAGCTTCAGAAACTTGGACTTGGACAAGTGGACGACACATGATGCGATGAGGTTAGACGCCTGCGTGCGAAATCAGATGTATGAAGAGTCCCTGGAGCTGCTTGTCGCTTGGCAAACGCAGCAATGGCTGCTTGATGGTGCGAGTGTATGGACCGTCCAACTGCTGAATCAATGTTGTAGTCACTGTAGCTGATAGTAAAGGCAAAGGACATCAACAAAAACATTAATTAAAGGACCGGATAACCCCACAAGTCAACTTCTTCCAATAATGAGCAACAAAAGTTGAAGCGGGACGGGGAAGGAAGGACAAAGGAGGTGGTGGAGGATCGAGAAGTTTAAAAAGTTGTATGTGAAGAGTTGTGTGTGATAAAGTTGTGTGTGAATGGTGTGTGACAAAGTTGTGTGTGAAAGATGGTGTGTGACAAAGTTGTGTGTGAAAGAGAGTGGGTGACAAAGTTGTGTGTGAAAGAGAGTGTGTGGCAAAGTTGTGTGTGAAAGATGGTGTATGCAAGCCAAAAACAGATGCAACACAACAATTGAATCTACGGCAAATACGGCGTTGCATGCAACTCGCCTCAAGCCATCGGACCACCACCCATACCGCTCGTGGGCCAACGGAATAGACCCACGCAGCGAGAAATGATCTCTCGCTGCAGGTTGCAAGTGTCGACCCAGCCGCTCGCCATCGGCCACATCATGCGCGTGCTTTCTACACAATCTCGCATCTCTACACATCTTGCACACATACCTGATGGCTGTGACACAAAGCGCGCTGAGTTGCTCTGAACCTGCAGTAGCAGCACGATGTAACACACCGTCGGTGGCGGTGCGTACACGAAGCCGCCAGCAGCCATGCTCCAAGGCAACAATCACCACAGATGATGCAGGTATCAAATGAGCATAACACTGCTTAAGCAGCCAGCACTGAAGTTGCACTGATGTCATCAAAGAAAGCAAAAATGCGTTGATGTGTGTGACACAATTCTGTGCGTGAAAGATTGCGTACAGTGACGCGCAGCTAAACTATGCAAGTGCTTCCACCGGTCAACAGGATGACAGATGACCATAGGTCGCTCTGCATGGCCCAGGAGCACACACACACATGCATACCGACCAAAATTAACGATGCACGTGCTTCTTTCCACGTTGGGTCACAGCTATGCGGCTACTGCAGCAAGATCGGGGAGCGTCATATGACACATCAAGCTAACAACCACCTGCACACAGTCGAGGAATAGATGCACTGCCCATCAGTGAAAACCCTGCTTGTCTTCCGCCCAAGGAGAAGATGGAAGGGGAACCTGGGCGCGATGCAAAGGCAGAGCAAGTTCAGAAAACACAATGCAAAGACACCACGTCACACTGTTTCATGCGTGCTCTAATCGAAAACAATGCAGATGATCCAGTTTTCCGACCGTTGCATACCAGATGCAATGGGTGCACATTACTGTAACCAATGTGTTCGGAATGCTTTTGAAGTATCAAAGCCGCGTTAATTTTGGGACACCGGGCAACTCATGGGCCCCTGGCAATCAATCACGCACAGGAAGAATGGGACTCAAAGACAGGTGTGAAGGAAAACTATTCGGAAGGTCTGAAACGACCAGCTCATTGGCGCGCGCATACGGCATAAATACGCACCTGTTTTTTTTGCAGAAGCTGCAAAACATGAATCAAACATGGCTTGCAATAACACATAGCTAAGCATGGCTCGAACCAAGCGTCTCTGTAAACATGCCAGAATGTTTTGCCAAAGTTTCCATCAAACATTGCCAGGCATGCCACACAAAACGATGGTCGATGTGACCAAGTCCCACGCCTGCCACGCGAAACGACAGTCGATGTCGTGAAGTGCCATGCCTGCCACGCAAAACGAGGGTGGATGTCGTGCAGTGCGACGCCTGCCACGCAAAGTGATGGATGTCGCCAAGTGCCACGCCTGCCATGCAAAGTGAAGGTGGATGTCGCCAAGTGCCACGCCTGCCATGCAAAGTGCCGCGGCGTCACCGCGCGACCAGCAGCGCCCAAGCGGCGCCCACACGGCGCCCAAGCGCCCCACCAGCCCAGCCCAGCGCCAGAAGTGCCACGCTTGCCACGCAAAGCGAAAGTGGATGTCGTGAAGTGCCACGCCTGCCAAAGACGGTGTGTGGAAGATGGTGTGTGACAAAGTTGTGCGTGAAAGATGGTGTGTGACGAAGTTGTGTGCGACAAAGTTGTGTTTGGCAGATGATGTGTGCGTGTGAAAGATGGTGTGTGACAAAGTTGTGTGTGAAAGATGGTGTGTGTGACAAAGTTGTGTGGAAGAGAGTGTGTGACAAAGCGGAGGCGGCGGGGCCGGGAGGCGGGAGCGGGAGGCGGGAGCGGGAGGCGGAAGCGGGAGGCGGGAGCGGGATACAGAATCAAAAACAAGAACCCCACACAAAGATGCGGGGAAAAAACACCATAAAGAAGACTTTAAAAGATCCCATCAGCCTGTGTTGAAGACTTTAAAAGGCCCTTGGAAGGATATTTCAGTGTTCTGAGGCATTCTGCAACAGCCTGCTCCAAGCGCACGAAGCTCGCGGCGAAGAGATCGCCGTCCTGAGTGGCATCAAAGAACAGGCGCTCTGCATTTGATTTTGATTTTAATACACTGATAAAGCCTAACCCAAAGATCTCCAAAGTCAATATTTCAGCATCATGGACTTCTGTTGCGACGAGTTGGTTATTTTGCCATACAGCAAAACAGAGTGTAACAAAGCACATTTGAGGACCTCTCCATACTCCATACTGCTACAGTCAAAAGTTGAAGCAAATTTTGCAACCAAACTCTGGCCATAGATGGCCATAGTGGCCGTCAACACCTTGGTTTGTGAAGTCCCTCTCCAGCTCAGCCACGAGTTGATCTCAAAGTTTGGCCTTCAGTTGCATCAACAAAAACACTCTCGAACGGAATGTTGAGCACATAGAACTCCCCGAAGGATCACCATAGTCATCGTAATCTGGACTTTATACCTTTTTTTTTACTTCATAGCAAAGGCAATTACGAACTTCAATAGCAGCAAGAAAGGCAGCCAAACCCAGGGTTTGTGTTTGCCGCCCAGTGAACAAAGGCAAACTACTAGGCCACATTGCTTCCAACGCAGTCGCTCTGGAAGAGTACTGGAATCGTATTGAAAGATATTGAAAGGTCTCTTGGTGGTTGGAGCTGTTGTCATTTGAACTGCAATCAATTTCCCATCTCACAGCCTGCAAGGTTGCTGTCCAACGGGCTAACCTCAAAGATGCCCTGGCTTCGCAGCTCAAAACAGCCACAAGGCTGCAAGACGGCTGCAAGTGCCACGGCAAGTGCCACGAAGTTAGTTAACAAGTCTTGAACCGCACACCAGTGTATACTAAGTCGTTCCCCGCCATGAGGACATTCATTTGCCTGCCTGCGTGCGCATTGTGGGCTTTCTTCGGCGTGTACAACGCCATTCCGAAGATGAACTACGCCAGCTCTTCATCGAGTTTCTTTGTTTACTAGATCTGACAGATTGTCCAGTCATTTCTATGTTCATTTCTATTTTCATTCGTTCCTTGAAATCTGCACCTGAATTTTCTGAAAAGGACCTTGTGCCATTTATATTTATATCCATTTATATGGTCACTTGCTTTCACAGTTGTGGCTGCCAAGGCATCGTAGCAAGTTCTTGGAGAGTCACAAACAGCAGGTGGAGTTGTTGAGACACAGTCGTGGCAGTGCAGCTTGGCCGAAGTTAAAGGTGTTGTCATAACGAAGTTCCAAGTGTTGTCGTTGTCACGGGATTGTGAAGGCCAGTGCTTCATATGCGAGCTTTTGGTGAATTCACGTCCGTCAGACGAAAGAACCTAACCGATGGGAGCTCCCCAATCCTTTAACATTTCTATATATATATATGGCTGTATTGAATTCCGGTTCAACTGGATTGTCCCACAAGCAACTCCAAAGAACGAGACTGCGTTGTCTCCGCATGGTCCAGACAACCCAGGTTGGCACAGCCTTGCGCAATGCGGCTGACTTGCTTCGGACGCAACATGGCCGCCAGAAGTCTACGATACATTTACGACACTAACGAGACGTTCATTTCTTTATTCCCTGTAGAGACATTGAAACAGCTGTTGGAGGCATGTCTATGACATTGGCACTCAGTACAAGGCGGCTGGGAGTAGTCAGATATCATAAGGATTTTGCCTTTTTCCATGAAGGTCACAAACTACCGATCTCATGCATGTAAGACAAGATAAACACACTGCGGACTTCCCGTGCTCAGAATCTGAGACTTTCGCACCATTTCGCCAGAACTTGATAGGATGGTAGACTTCAAACATGGAATTGCGCAGTTGGTTCATCGGCATTCGAATACGGATTAGAGTTGAGATCGAGTTCAGAGGATGGCAAGGTACAGATAGAAATGATAGAAATGATAGAAACAGATCCTGTGGATGTTCATTTCCAACTATTGAGAGACGGTCTCAGCTCTGGATCAGGCTTTGTTCCCACAAGACGATGGGCCTTTGAGTGTTTGGCTAAACAGTCAGGTGATGTCCCTCGCCATAGCGTTGCTGCTTTGTTCAAATCGGCCATTTTTGACAGTCATCAATGGCTTCAAACGATGCACGGTTTACCGTTTGAAGAAACGTGCCAGGTTCACATTCTCGGAGCATAGCGTACAATTGGCAGCCGAGGTGGTTGGTTTCTCTTCTGCGTCATCATGTTTTGCCTCCAAGCACAGCAGCGGTGACTGGCTGAGCCTCACCACATGGCGAATTGCGTTGTGAAATCTCTTTCGGGCACTTGAAGCTGAGTTTCTCATCATTTCCAGAGTGAATCAGCACAGTGACACAAAGAGAACAAACAAATGACAATGATACTTTTTGTTTGTTTGTTGCTTGTCCCCCATGAGGCGAAAGCTTCCCAGGGCAGTGTCCGGCTGCCAAGAAACATAGTCTGGTCAGACTGTTTGGACACTTCTGTTTTCCATGGGCAAGATGGCTATTTACTTGACGTCTCCTTCTCCATGAAGGAAACTCCAAAGGGTTGTGCGGTTGTCCCCTCACCCAACATGTGGTGCAGCCTTCACGGCGGGTTCGATATCCATAGCTAGGCTGCAGCCGCTTCACAGGTCTACAAAATGATGACCGGTAATGATAATGTAAGGCAGAACCGATTATATACCCGAACGCAGTTCGGAGGAAACTTTGGGCATAGGAGGCTCACCCCTAGATCCCCTGGATCATCATTCTTTTTCCTATAAAATGTTGATTTTGCAGTTACCAGTAGTTACTCATTTCAGAGACACACTGGGATACACAGGACTGGGATGACTCCAAGATTCACAGCTGTCCAAGCTCATACTGTGAACATGTGAACAGGATGTGAACATCGTAACATCGACTATCCAACCGGAAACTTTGTCGCTTTTGTAGTACTGGCAGAGGTGTGGCATGCAGATTTGTTTTGCTGAGGCAAAGATCGACGCTGCCCAGTTGACCACTGTCTTGCGACAATGTGTGCATGCTTCCTCCACGCTGAAACGTTTAGGCTGCCGGGTCATCGCTGCCGAATCATGTTCTTTTTGAAGGAACCTGCAGGAACGACAGCGGCAAGCTTGGCATATCTTGGAATACATCGGCAGGCGGGCACTTCTTTGGAGCCGTCGCCAGCATCTTCGAGGCTCAATGTTCTTGGGATTCTTGAAACTCGTGCAGGTTTTGAAAGCTGTGAGGCTTGGGGACTAGGAGCTGTGAGTTGCATGACGCAATAGTTCTCCAAAGAAAATCCTCCAAAGCACATGTGCTTTGATCATTTTTGATATTTCTTCCAGCTCTGGTGACTCTGGTGGAATTGGTACTATGGTTTGGAAATCCCTTTGAAAAATCAATGTGTGGATGCGTTGCATCCATTGCTTCTGGAGGCACGAATGGAGCAGCACTGTCGGGATATGCTTGATGCAGCGCTTCTGAACTTCCATTCTGAACTCGGACGATACGATTGGGTTCCCTCGACAGCCATGGCAGGCGATCCAACAGATTGTTGTATCAGAAAGCAGCTAGTGATGGCGCAATGGGAATCAATAGTTGTTGCAGACAGTATCAGGCAGTCATACTTTCTTTCTGCAGACGTCTTCTGATTTCATGACGTTTTTTTTTCTTCTGCTACTCACTATTGCACCACCTGTTGAACGAATGGTTTGAGTATATATTATATCATTATATCTGACAACTGTTGTCTTTGTTGGGGTTTCCCTGGTTTGTGAAAGGTGGCTATCCATAGCTGCCATAGCTAGGATATACTCAGTCTGACTATCCAAAACTCCGCTCTTCCTGGACAGCCGGAAGGAAGTGCTCCTGAATCAGGGTGGCTGCATCCGCAGGTGTGGTCGGCAGTGAAAACGAACCATTTTTCGAATCTGACTAGTGTCTGCAATGCAGGTGCTGGCACCCGATCAGAGGGGAACTCCAAGAAAAGAAGAAGAAGAAAAAGAAGAAGAAAAAGAAGAAGAAGAAGAGGAAGAGGAAGAAGAAGTCCTGCCTACATTTATTATTTCAGGGAATCACCACTTGAAGAGAACATGTCGCGGACAACCTTTCACACCATCTCTACTGCTTGCAATCAAGTGTTAAGACATTGAGATGCATTCGACTTGGTCTGGCAATAGATCTTTTCAATGTTGTCTTTAGACATGATGCGAAGTCAAAGGAAATCTGCATGAAAGGTGGCGAAAATTCATAAATCTATTCCATCAGATTGGTATTTGCACCAAACTTGGGATCAAAATGGATCACAGTCGAAGCTTGTCACTCTTCCAGCAGTCTATGTCACTCTATGTTACTCTTGAAAGCTTCGACTGCTCGGCTAGGCTTTGGAGTTGACGAGACATCGTCCACTGGCAGTGCTGGCCAATGACATCGTGCAGGTCCAGCTCCGATGTCATAGGTGCTGATGCATTCTTCACATTGGAAAGAATTATTGAATTATTCATCACTTTTCAATTTCCGATTTTTCTCAATTCTTAAGGCACCTTTTCATACTCCTTCCAGGCACATTGGGGTGGTACTCATTTGCTTCCTGCTTCCTGTGCAGGTCTTCAATGAACTGAGACAATGCACTCTGTATGGTCTACGAGTTGCTGTGGTGACTCATTGATCCTAGGCTGCAAAGTGCCTTGAGCAAAGCAGTGGCCCCATGGCCCCGCGGCCCTGTCTCCGCCCTTGCTGGAAGGGTTTTCTTTGGTTGCCAACGAGACCGGATTATCCTGGGCTACGTATGCCGGCATGCCGGCAGATTACCGCCTTTGGAGCTTAGGCTATGAGTGCTCCATGGCATCACTCAATCTGCTGCGGTCCGTACTGGCGCAGAACCTGCGGCCAGGCATCGTCACAGGGCTTGGTTGACTATGAAATACCATGATTTGCCATAGATTGGCACTGTAGGCTTGAATCACGCAAACCAAGCTTATCACTAGTGCTGGTGACTGAGACAGACTTTACCGTCAACTTTTCGCCAAACTGTTTTCTTTCATTGGCTGAACTCTTTTCTTAATTCTCCTGGAAGCCAACCATTTGTGACGAGAGTGGACAGGCTCTCCGCAGACAGCCGAGTTTCATAAGCTTTGCAGAAACTTTGTCCGACGCCTAAGCTTTAGACACAGGGATGAGACCAGAACGGTTTTTGTATGCACAGACCATGGATGTCTTGGACAGGATTCTGACTCTCAGTAGGTTGTCACTTCTCAACCAATTTCTTGCAGCTTGAGCGACTGCAGATCACTGAACGATACCGAACCTATCTACCAGTCTTCGCAAGTTCGAAATTCATTCCGACAAGCATCGATGCACAGGTTTAGTGATTTTTTGTATATTTTTGTTGTATTTTGAGTTCTGGATTTGAGCAACGAGGGTGCAGAGACACAGGGAACTGCAGGGAGATTACTTTTCAAAAGCTCCAAACTGCTTCCCAAGATGCCCGGTTGACATCGGTTGACTCTGTTTCGTCCCAAAAGGCTGACATCTTGATGCCCTTGGTGGCGGCTCACTTGGAAGCTCTATTTGGAGCAGCTGCTAGGCCAGGTATCCCAAGCAGCTTAGGGATAGCCTTGGGATTTCTTGGGCACATCTTGCAGCACTTCACCCGACATATTTCACAATGTATCCCATCAATATTTCAGAAGTCTTGGGCATACCACGAAAGGTAGCACCAAGCTACCTGAGTTCTCCGCTTGCTGTGCAAGCTACTTTTCCTTTTGTTTGGGGTCGCTGGGGACGTGCCTGATTTGGAGCGTTTATGTATTGGTTTTAGTCTTGGGGGGGGGCCCTTTTCGATTTTCCCCTGGTCCAAGGCGTGTGAGCCTGCAAGAAATGGCATGATTAAGACATGGTTGCAACCGCTCCAGAGGGTTTTGTCACCAAAGAAAACAGCAGGACTTCTAAAAAAATTGTACACCAAATTTTGTCCCTCTCATCGTGCTATCGCACGCGCTGCTCTCGTCGCCATTTTCTCCCACCTGTTCGCTATGTCCTCCCCACCATTCTTCCCATCATTCTTTTCAAACAGAGAAATATGAAACAAAGACAATGTATTGAATTTCCAATATGTGCACAAGTTACCTTTGCTGAGTTACTTTTAAGTTCACAAAAAATGCCTTGTAACTTAACTATATAGACCAAATACACACAAGCTCCCAACTCCCATATGTCGATTGCAATTGGTTTAAATATCACCTAAAAACTTAACAGCCTAACAGGAATTACAATAGCTTATAGCCTACTTGCAACAAAGGTTGCCAGTGCTACCAATGCTCTAAGCAACGACCGGTCACCTAGCAGGTGCACCCTTGCTGCGCATAGCCATGCACAAAGTCGCCTTCCGCGACGCGCAGACCCTTCTGCATACAGTGGTGTAGCACAGCCATTTCTTTCTCCACCACCTTACTTCGTCCCACTTCGTCCCACTCCCGAATCCAGTTGCGCGCGGCTCTGCAACTGGCTTCATTCGTCTCCTCTTCCTCCCTCTCACCACACCCGATGCCCTGTATAACGCCGACTCCGGCTCGGCCAACCTCCTCTGAGAACACCTTGTTGAACTCTTGTCTCGCGTCTAAAACAATCTCCAGACCATTACCTATTGCAAGCTACCCACATGTACTGACGCCTTACACACATACATTGCACACAAACACATGCATACCTGCCTACTGACCTAAATTCCTACCTACCTAGCTACCTACCTGCCTACCTGGCCCCTAGGTGCCTCCCTAGATAGATACATGCACCTATACATGCTTCCATACATGCATACATACTTACAAACATACATACCTTGATACATACATATGAAGTACATACCCACACACCTGCATATATCCGTGCATACATACATGCCTACATACATACATACATACATACATACATACATACAGACATAAGTACATGCATGCATGCATACATGCATACCTACACACTCCTACATACCTACGTACATACAAACATACATACGTACATACATACGTACATATATACGTGCATAAATGCATACCTGCATACGTGCATACATACATACATACGTACATTTGTACATGTGTAAATTGGTACATTGGTACATTGGTACATTTGTACATCTGTACATTTGTACATACCAACCTACCTTCCTACCTACCTACCTACCTACCTACCTACCTCCATGCATGCATGCATGCATGCATGCATGCATGCATACATACATACATACAGACACACACACATACATACATACATACATACATACATACATACATACATACATAGTTACATAGTTACATAGTTACATACATACATACATACATACATACATACATACATACATACATACATACCAGACATACCACACATACCACACATACCATACATACATACATACATACATACATAACAAAAACATACATAACAAAAAACATACATAACAAAAAACATACATAACAAAAACATACATAACAAAAACATACATGACAAAAAACATACATACATACATACATAGATAGATAGATAGGTAGATAGATACAGACAGACAGACAGACATACATACATGCTTACATACATTACATTCATTACATACATTACATACATTACATACATTACATACATTACATACATTACATACACAACATACAGAACATACATAGCATACATAAATTAATACAGAACATACACAACATACTTAACATACATAACATACATAACATACATAACATACATAACATACATAACATACATAACATACATAACACGCATAACATACATACCATACATACCAAATGTACCAAACGTACCATACATACCATACATAACATACATACCATACATACCATACATACCATACATACCATACATACCATACATACCATACATACCATACATACCACACATACCATACATACCATACATACCATACATACCATATATACCATACATACATACATACAAGAAGAGTTTGGATATTTTTTGGAAAGAAGCACAATGCAGTACCAGAAACAAAATTCTAATTTATAATGCAGTCATTCAATCAAAACTTCTCTATGCCTTGGAAACAATTGAGATTCCAGTGGCTCTCCTTTCACGATTAGAATCTTTTCAGTTGAAAGGTTTGCGAAAGATTCTAGGCATGACTACGACCTACATCAATCGTGCAAACACAAATGAGGAGGTTTTCAGAAGAGCAAACTTGCACATTGCAGCGAACCATCATGGAACCAAAATTGAACCAATTCAGGACATTTTGGCCCATCGTCGCATCGCACTTGCAGCGAAAGTTTTGAGACAAGACAATGACAGCCCTATGAGAATGGTCAGTTTCAAAAAAGATACCGCCGCACCTGTTGAGGTATTGTTCCGACGGGTCGGCAGACCCAGGAAACAATGGACGCAAAACACCTTGACTATGATATGGCGTAAAATTCGTAATGACCAAAGTGATTTCAACAATTCCAACGCACAACTTGCTCAAATACTGCAAGCAGCTATCAACAAAAATCTAGTAACATTTTCCTACCAGGCTGTATCCTGGACATCGTAACTAAGTCGAACTAATCTATAGTTCTACTTCAAGGAGTTCCTGTACTGAGGGGCAACGATGCTGCGGGGAGCCTACGGGTATGGCACCTGCCTTTCTAAGTTAGTTTCACATCCGTTTTTCACAAACCATACCTATGGCACGCAAGAAGAAGATACATACATACAAACAAACATACATACATACATACCTACATACATACTTACATACATACATACATACGTACATACGTACGTACGTACATACATACATACATACATACATTACATACATTACATACATACATACATACCTACGTACGTACGTACGTACATACATACATACATACATTACATACAGACATACACACATACACACAGATACACAGATACACACATACACACATAGACACACAGATACACAGATACACACATACACACATAGACACACAGATACACAGATACACACATACACACATAGACACACAGATACACAGATACACAGATACACACAGATACACAGATACACAGATACACACATACACACATAGACACAAAGATACACACATACACACCTAGACACACAGATACACAGATACACACAAAGACGCACAGATACACAGATACACAGATACACACACACATAGACACACAGATACACACATACATGCAGATACACAGATACACACATAGACACACAGATACACAGATACACACATACACACATAGACACACAGATACACACGTACACACATAGACGCACAGATACAAAGATACACACATACACACATAGACACACAGATACACAGATACAGACAAAGACGCACAGATACACACATACACACATACAAACAAAGACGCACAGAAACACAGATACACAGATACACACATAGACACACAGATACACAGATACACACATACACACATAGACACACAGATACAAAGATGCACACATACACACATAGACACACAGATACAAAGATACACACAGATACACACATACACACATAGACACACAGATACACATAGATACACATAGATACACAGATACACAGATACACACATAGACACACAGATACACAGATACACACCAAGACACACAGATACATGCATACACACATAGACACACAGATACACAGATACACACATACACACATAGACACACAGATATACAGATACACAGATACACACACACACATAGACACACAGATACACACATACACATATAGACACACAGATACACACAGATACACAGATACACACAAGCACACGTAGACACACAGATACACACATAGACACACGGATACACACATACACACATAGACACACAGATACACAGATACACAGATACAGACATACACACATAGACACACAGATACACACATACACACATAGACACACAGATACACAGATACACAGATACACACATAGACACAATGATACACAGATACACAGATACAAACGTAGACACACAGATACACACAGATACACACATGCACATACACACATAGACACGCAGATACACACAGATACACGGATACACAGAGATACGCAGATACACACATACACACGTAGACACACAGATACACACATACACACATAGACACACAGATACACAGATACACACATAGACACACAGATACACAGATACACAGATACACACATACAGACACAGATACACAGATACACAGATACACAGATACACACATAGACACAAAGATACACACATACACACATACACACATAGACGCACACATACACACATACACGCATAGACACACAGATACATAGATACACACATACACACATAGACACACAGATACACAGATACACACAGATACACAGATACACAGATACACACATACACACAGATACACACATAGACACACAGATACACAGATACACAGATACACACATAGACGCACAGATACACACATAGACACACAAAGACACACATACACACATAGACACACAGATACACAGATACACAGATACACACAGATACACAGATACACAGATACACACATACACACATAGACACAAAGATACACACAGATACACACATACACACCTAGACACACAGATACACAGATACACACAAAGACGCACAGATACACAGATACACAGATACACACATAGACACACAGATACACAGATACACACATACACACATAGACACACCAGATACACAGATACACACATACACACATAGACACACAGATACACACACATACACACACAGACACACAGATACACATAGACACACCAGATACACAGATACACACATAGACACACAGATACACAGACATACACCCATAGACACACAGATACCACATACACACAGATACACACATACACACATAGACACACAGATACACAGATACACACATAGACACACAGATACACAGATACACACAAAGAGACACAGATACACAGATACACACACGGACACAAAGATACACACAGATACACACATACACACATAGACGCACAGATACACACATAGACACATAGACACACAGATACATAGATACACGGATACACACATACACACATAGACACACAGATACACACATACACACATAGACACACAGATACACACATACACACGTAGACGCACAGATACACGCAGATACACGCAGATACACACAGACACACAGATACACAGATACACACATACATACATAGACGCACAGATACACAGATACAAAGATACACAGATACACACATAGACGCACAGATACACACAGATACACAGATACACACATACACACAGATACACGAATACACACATACACACATAGACACACAGATACACAGATACACACATAGACGCACAGATACACAGATACACAGATACACACACACATAGACACACAGATACACTGATACACACATAGACACATAGATACACAGATACACAGATACACACGTAGACACACAGATACACACATACACACAGATACACACAGATACACACAGATACACAGATATACACAGATATACACAGATACACGCAGATACACACATAGACACACAGATACACAGATACACACAGATACACACATAGACACACAGATACACACAGATACACACATAGACACACAGATACACAGATACACACACATACACACATAGACACACAGATGCACAGATACACACATACACACATAGACACACAGATACACACACACATAGACACACAGATACACACATACACATACACACATAGACACACAGATACACAGATACACAGATACACACACACACACATAGACACACAGATACACAGATACACACAGATACACAGATACACACATACACACAGATACACACATACACACATAGACACACAGATACACAGATACACAGATACACACATAGACGCACAGATACACACATAGACACACAAAGACACACATACACACATAGACACACAGATACACAGATACACAGATACACACAGATACACAGATACACAGATACACACATACACACATAGACACAAAGATACACAGATACACACATACACACCTAGACACACAGATACACAGATACACAGATACACACATAGACACACAGATACACAGATACACACACACAAAGACACACACACACACACAGATACACACATACACACATAGACGCACAGATACACAGATACACACATACACACATAGATACACACATACACACAGATACACACATACACACATAGACACACAGATACGCAGATACACACATGCACACATAGACACACAGATACACAGATACATA